GATGATGACAAAACCTTGTCGAAACGTTGTACATTTGCTGTTGTGTTAAACTATTATTATTATGTATTGCACTGCCCCCAGTGGCACAGCGGTATGTCTGGGGACTTTTAACACTAGAATCTGGGTTTCGATACCCGTGGTAGGCAGAGCACAGATAGCCCATTATGTAGCTTTGTGCTTAAATGTATTGCACTTTTCAAAGAATTCAAAACAATAAAATGTAACTGATTATTAAGTTAAAAGTATATAATTTCTTACATATTTTTATTATTTTGTTATAGATGAAAATTTTACAAGTCACAAAATAAGAAACCCAGTAACTCCAGAGCTTTACAAAGATAGATTTTTTTATTCATTTTCAGAGATGAATTATGGGAAAAAAATACTACAGAAAGAGTGCCTACCCTGAAAATGTTCTGTTATCAGGCCTCTCCTCTCGATTTAAAATTTGTATTTCAGATAGCATCACCATGGAAGATAATCCGTCACATATTTTATTTGACACTATTCATCTTTAAGAATACATGAGAGCAAACAAAAAGCGTATTAATCTTAAAGTTTATAATATTTATCGCATTTTTCAATACAACGTTATATTTTCGAACAAAAATTCAAAACAAATAGTAACTATTTACTCCTAAGGATCACAAGAAATACTTACTTCACATGCGGTGCGTTTTTGTTTTTTTTGTTAAACACAAAGCTACAACTTGATATTTGTGCCCACCAGAGGAAGAATGTGCAAGCAGAAAATCAACTTCTTGAGGAGCCTATGGTTTTTGTCAAGGTTACTTTTAGAGGATCATCAACGATGAAGTCATCAATGGGTTCATTCAATCACCTGCCTAGAAAGAATTTCTCCAGTGAGAGGATAGCCAATGACAATAAGAGACAAGATGTCATCCCATCTGCATCCCATGGGTCTCAAAAGACTTGATGAATTTGTTTGTTTGTTTGGAATTAAGAAAGCTACACAATGGGCTATCTGTGCTCTGCTAATCACGGGTATCGAAGCCCGGTTTTTAGCGTTGTAAGTCCGCAGACATACCGCTGTGCCACTGGGGGGGGGGCGACTTGGTGAATGGACAGTTTAGTGTACTACGCAATTCAGGAATGGGATTGTGTTGTGAGCTATATTTTCAATGTTTTAATCCAATTGCACTTGCTTAAGCAGTGCTTCCCAAACTTTTTCAATTCGCGTCACACTTTTAATGTCCCAAACTTTTTGCGGCACATGTAAATATGTCCGTATGGCAGGCCTAAAACAGACAGAAAATAAATAAATGTTGAAATTTTAAAAATGTATTAAAAATTGATAATAAATGTATATTGCTAAATAACAGTTACTCAATAATTGCAAAAATTCCGCGGCACAACTGAGACCCTCCCGCGCCATACAGTTTGGGAAATACAGTGCTAGAGGGTGTTGCTTGATTTAGAATTGTTTGTTTGTAGTTAAGCACAAAGCTACACAAAGGGCTATTTGTGCTCTGCCCACCACGGGTATCGAACCCCGTTTCTAGCGTTGTAAGTCTGCAGGCATATCGCTGTGCCACTGGGGACGCTTGATTTAGAAGTGTTGATAAAGATTGTCCTAGAATACCTAGGTGTGTTTGTGAATGTTAATAATCCAAATACTTTGCGTTGTAAGTCTGCAGGCATATCGCTGTGCCACTGGGGACGCTTGATTTAGAAGTGTTGATAAAGATTGTCCTAGAATACCTAGGTGTGTTTGTGAATGTTAATAATCCAAATACTTTGTGAAATACCTAGAATTAAGGATACATTATAAACACAAGAATCAGTAAAGTATTGGGTCCGTTTCAGTTTCTTCAATGATTAAGAAGTTTGATAATGAAGATGAATCTGGTTGACAAAACATAAAACACTTTATTTATAAGGTTCGAACGTTTCGGAATACACCCATTTCATTTTCAGCGAAATCTGAAAATAGTGTTACAAAGATGATTATTATGTAAAATTATAATATCACTAATCACTAGTTTACTTAGTTATTAAGAAAAGTGGTAAACGGAAGGATAACACATAAAAAATAGGTTATATATATATATATATATATATTGCAAAACAGTTGAGTTTTAAGTGTATAAATTTAGAATAATTTTAGATATAAAGAGCTTTGTGAGTCGTTAAGAGTCGGGCGGTCTTTAGCTATGAGTAAACTTTATTTAATGTAGAGTTCAAGATCCTGTAGTAATGACAAAGAAATCGTTAAATGAAATATTGTGACCCGTGGTTTCAGAATGTGAACAAATGCAAGAGTGGCTGGGTTTAAGTAGTGGGCGGTTGGTTCCCTTAGATACTCCTAAATGTCCACAGCCTCTAGTTTTCAAATGGCATTTTGTTTTACCAAGGTACGTGATTTTATAGTCACTACACTTATATTTATATACGAGCCATGAACGTAGAAGTTTAGGTAGTTGATCTTTGTAATGAAATTAGTTTTTATTAACTAACCACGATATATTATCTTTTTATTGTTTATAGATGATTGATAGTTTAAAATGAAGTAATGGACGGAATTATTAAGTTTGTAAGCTGGTGTAGTACGTTCTATTAATATGAAAATAAAAAGTTAGCTAAATCTTAGATTTCATTGAAACTTTTATATCAAAACATCATATATGTATATATAGCAATAATAAACTTAAAGCATGTATATATATATATATATAAATTTTATATATATATATATATATACTTTATATAATTCTTCACCCCTGTCAATAAGCGACTCAAAATTCTGGGATGAAACGCACTACTTTACCTCACTTTATGTCACAAGGAGGACGAGGAGGTTGATGGTTCTAGGTTGTCTACTGGCATTGTTCGCTTCTCTTTCCCCAGCTATGGCAGCGCATAGAGAAAGAACCTTTCTAATGGTAAAGCCTGATGGTGTCCAACGTGGTCTTGTCGGTGAAATAATTCAGCGATTTGAAAGAAAGGGATTCAAGTTGGTTGGTATGAAATTTTTACAGGTGAGTCATCAAAATGACCAGTTCTTCACTTCTTGGGGAAGTAACTTAGTAGGATAACAAATTGACATCAGACTTTTATTTTACATTTTCGACGTACTTAATATTAATAAGAAAATCTGATATATATATATATATTTATGTCTATAATTTAAGTTTCTCAAGGTGGAAGGAGAGACTAAAATATAAGCTGCCCAAGTCAAAATAGCTATATACATGGCCGCCGTAAGTAATCCACCGACCTTGGACTTGTATTGCTTGTGTAGAGTCTAGTGGTTCCTAACATGGGGTCCTCGGACCCATAGGTGTCCGCGTAGGTAATACCATCTCATTAAACAAGTAAGTTTTTAATACTGATGTTCTATTTAATTGCACACTCAATTTATATATGTCTTTTATTTGATAGTGGAAAGTGGGAGAACGAGTTAATAAAAACAGTTTGTTGGGTAGGCGGAATCTTTCAAAAACATGGGGGTCCGTGGGGGGGGGGGGATTATAATAAAAGGGGTCTTTGGTGGAGAAAAGGTTGGGAACCACTGTACTAGACTATACTAGCCAACTTTTTATATACGCGGTTGCTGTGTAACCGTTCGTAGTTTAGGCCTATTAGTATTAGTAAATGTTTCATTTCTCTTTACCATATTCTTGTCTTATAACTTTTGCGTGGAAGTTAGTATAGCTATAAATATGTTACTTTGAGCAATTTTACAAGAGGTGTGGGTGGTAGAAATACTTTATTGTATACATAATACAGATATTTATTTATTTTATAAATGTTAAACTGCTCTGCACAAAATTTCGTATCCATTTTAGAAACAATTTATGAAGAATGGTTATATAAACTTGGTAGAACATTAATAGAGATTACAAAAGTCTTTCCCCCCACCCCCCATCCTCTCTCTCCCAGTGGCTTAGCAGTTAATGTGAGAGCTCACACTATTAAAAACTGGGTTTCAGTACTTGTGGGGGGGACACAGCACACTGATAGCCCATTGTGTAGCTTTATGCTTAGATGGCTAAAAACAAAAGTATTTTTTGTTTTATTGCTGGAGTTAATGTGAACCTCTACCTTACAGAACTGCCTCACAATCCCCCAGTATGCTTGTTTAGTTCATGCATGAACTTTCTAGGAGTAAAACTGCCTGCTACTTTTACATTGAGATCAAAACTTGAATGTCTGCTTATTCGTCAGTGGCAGTTTTGCAGTAAAGCTTTTCTCTTGGCTAATTTTTGTGGTTGAAGGTTTCAACTTGCATTATTATTGTTGGGATATTTAACTTGAATTATTTTGGGAACAGTCCTACTAATTAACACGAGAAATATAGTCAAATATTCTCGCCACAACAACACTTATAGGAACCATCAAAATGGATTAAGTCATTTTATCAATTCATCACAGGATCTTTTGTTAAGTATATCACTAATGTTTTATGTTATTAAGTAATTTTGTTATCATGTTTGTTTCCGTTAACTGTAGTGTGTGTATATATATATAAACATTAGTAAAAACTTTGTTATTGTAAAGTACTTCACTGCAAGGTAACAATGGATATTTCTTCAAATTATATATACGTTGTGGTGTATTTATTGTTTAGTTTTTGGTGATTAGTAAGACCTTCTAGGAATGTTGTACTCTTTAGAACAACCTTATTCACATTGGTCTTCCAATTTTTTGTGTGTGGAATCCTGGGAGAAGGGTGAAATATAGAAGACAACAATGGTTTCCATTTATATGAAATTAACAATGGTTGGTTATAAAGTCCTGCATCTATTTCTGTGGTAAATTAACAATGGTTGGTTATAAAGTCCTGCATCTATTTCTGTGGTAAATTAACAATGGTTGGTTATAAAGTCCTGCATCTATTTCTGTGGTAAATT